CAAAATCAAATCCTATTGGGATGGTTTCTCACCTGCCAGGCACCTCAATAAGTTTTCCAAACTTCGGTTTACAACTTTAGTTTGCCCGTCAGTTTGTGGATGATAAGCACTGCTAAACTGAAGAGTAGTTCTTAATTTTGCCCAAAGTGTTCTCCAAAAATGGCTCAAAAATCTAGTATCTCTATCAGAAGTAAAAGTGCGAGGAACACCATGAAGACGAACAATTTCTTTAAAAAATAAATCAGCAATATATAAAGTATCAGAAGTTTTCTTGCAATGAACAAAATGTGCCATTTTGCTAAATCGATCTACCACCACAAAAATGGAATCAAACTTTCTAAAAGTAACAGGCAATCCCAAAACAAAATCCATAGAGATATCATCCCAATATTTATTAGGAATTGGAAGGGGAGTATATAAACCAGCATTTTAAGAAGTTCCTTTAAAAGCCTGACAAATTTTGCATTGTTTCACTAGTTTAGCAATTTGTTTTCTCATATGAGTGCTTGGAGCTTTTGAAAGCCCAAATGACATTACAAGCCATTCATACAAATCCTCTTTTGTTTTAAAAGCAGTTTTTCATTCATCTCCAGGTCTTATTTTTATTTGATGATACCCACTTCTCAAATCAATTTTAGAAAAGATTTTTGTACCGCTTAGCATATCTAGCATGTCATCCAATCTAGGAATAGGAAAGCGATATTTAATAGTGATTTTATTTATACACATTCTCCACGTACCATTTTTTTTTGGAGTTAATAAAGCATGTACAGCACAAGGACATAAACTATCCTTAATCAAACCCTTTTCTAGCAAATCAATCACTTGCTTAAAAAGTTCAGCATGTTCATTTGGACTTATCCTATAATGGGTAAATTAGGCAATGTTGCTCCAGGAATTAAATCAATATGATATTGAATATCTCTCATCGATGGCAAATCTATAGGTAGTTCTTCAGGAGATAAATCAGAAAAATCATCGATTAAAGATTGAATTTCTTTAGGAATTTGAAGCACATAATCAGTTTCTTTTCCCAAAACCAAATAAACCACATCAGAGTGTTTCAAATCATTCGCATTCAAAAGCAATTCAGGAGAACTTATTTTAGCAACTTTATTATTTTTAGCAGGAGAATCAGGCATATGTTTTTGCGGATAGAGAGTGAATTCCTTGTTGTTTGAATCAAAGAGTGAGTATTTTTCTCCCCGTTGTGAATAGTTTTATTATCAAATTGCCAAGGTCGTCCCAATAGAATGTGACAGACTTCAAGAGGCACAACATCACAAGTCACTTGATCTTTAAAAGACCCCCCAATTGTTAAGCTAACAACACATTGCTTTGTGATAGGAACTTCACCACCCTCTTTAAACCAAGAAATTTTATAAGACTTAACATGCAGTTTGGACTTTAATTTCAGCTTATCAACCATCAATTGAGATACAAAATTCCCTGAACTTCCACTATCTATCATAGGAGTGCAGATTTTTCCCTCAACTGTATAAGTTGTTTTGAAAATGTTTCTTGTAATGCACTTGTCCCTGTTATCAATTTTTGTTGTTAAGATTTGTCGGATTACCAAAAGTTCTTCTCCTTCATCCCCCTCAACATCAATTTTCTCTAATTCTATGTCATCTTCATTTTCAAACTCATTTTCTTCCTCTTCATCTACTTCTTCGTTGCTTTCAATGAAGTTTGTTTTTGGCGGGTTGTTTTTTCTACAAGTTGCAGAAAGATGACCATAAAGCCCACATTTGTAGCATGGTCCGATTAATTTAGGTTGTTCAGAAGGCTTAGGACCCATAATTCCTTTTCCCTTATCAGCATTTTGATTTTCAAAAGGTTTAGCTTTAGTACCTGATGTTCTCACAGAAGTTTGAGATTGATTCTTAGATTCACCAATTGATCATTATTTGTATGTTTTCGTTATCTTGTTATGACCTCTTTCTCTTTGATGCTGTTTTTTAATTTTTAATGTCATTCGGTATGCCTCGTCAACTTTTATTACATGATGCAAGTTCAATTGATCCTGAATTGTCCACTTAAGACCGTTAATGTATCTTGAAACAGTTTTCTCTTCAGATTCGTCTAAATCATTTCTTGATTGAAGTTTGTAAAACAGTTCCGTATATTCTTCCACATTTTGAGTTCCTTGCCACAAATTATTGAATTCTTGAAATAGAGTTCGTGCGTGATCAGACGGTAAAAATTTTCCTCTCATTTTTTCTTTCATCTTTTCCCAGTTTTGAATATTTTCTTTGCCACGCCTAAGTTTATTGTTTTGCAAACTTTTCCACCATGTAAGAGCATGACCATTTAATTTTAAGCTTGCAAATTTCACCTTCCGATTTTCAGGAATTTCTTTCCAATCGAAAAATTGATCCATTTTCTCAAGCCATTCAAGAAATAGATCAGGTTGCAACTTACCCTCAAAGTTGCGAACATCAATTTTAATCCCAAAATCCCAATTTCGTTGTCACCTATTTTGGTTCCTAGGGACTTCTTCCTCGCTTTCAGATGTTTGAAAATGTTGTTGATTAACATTAAGATTAGCAAGGGTATTAGCCATTTCATTCATTTGATTTTGCAAATCCACTAATTGTTGCATAACATTATGCCATTCCCCCAGATTGTTAGCCACTTTAGAACTCAAAAGAAACAAAGGACTCACCAACCAAGGATTTCCTAACTCGCTCTGATACCAACTTGATGCAAGCAAAATTAGAAAAGAGACAAATTGGAGAACACCATGACAAGACTTAAACCAAACTTGATTCATATAAACCTTGCAAACATCCAAACAAACTTAAGAGAAACAAAAGCCAAATCGAAGAAAACAAAATAACAATATAAAAATGCTATCCTCAATAAAACTGTCTAGCGGTCTCCTCACATGCAACGAAAGTAAGAATTTTAAGAAAATTGTGCTTAGGCTTGCAAACCAAGGGTCCACCACTGCAAAAGAGTCCAACGTCATTTCCAAACTCCTCCGGCAAATGTCTCCAAACTTCAGCCAACATACACTTCCAAAGCTCAAGAAGAAGGATACAAGTGGAGTGGAACTTGTGTAGAGAAGAAGGGGTTAGAAGCCAAGATGAAATAGAGAAAAGAAGAAGGGGATGGAACAAGCTCTCAAGCTTTTCCAAGAAGAAACGCTCAGGTTTTTGTAGAGTTTTTACTCACAATCATCAACAACCTTTTTCATGCCAAAACAACTCTCTTTTATAGGCAAAAGAAGGTAGACAAGTAGCCATATCACCTCCAACCGAAACCAATAGGAATTGGGGAAATGAAAGGCCAAAAGTCACCAAGTAGAATCTTAAAGGACAACAAAGACTGCAGCAGAAAACTGCACAAAAAATAGGGTGAAAACCACGAAAATTCCCCCCAAAATGCCACGGGAAAACAGCTAGCAGGAGACCCGAAAAAACCAGCACAAGAGGCCAAGCACCAGGACACGGGAACTACAGCCAGCACAAGAAACAAAGGAGCTAGGCACGGGAAAACTAGCCAGCACAGGAAACAAAGGAGCCAGGCACGGGAAAACCATCCAGCACAGGAAACTAAGAAGATATAGGGGAGGAAAAGAGGCAAGTCCACTCCAAAATGAATCCAAGAAATATTATCATACCTTTTTGAATTAATGAGCTAGGAAGTGCAATTAATCTCCAATCATTAAGCTAAACTTCAGCTCAAGCATTTATGAGCTAACACCAAGTAGAATCCCACAATTTTTTTAGCTCCATACCAATCAACCAAGGCCATACCCGAGAGCAACCACCACACCAAACCAAAATCAGCAAGGAGCCCAAGGACGAAGTGGACCCAAGAACAAGCAAACCCAAGGTTCGCCATGTCAAGCACCTTCCTACCATGATCATTGGAAGCCCAACCATCATAGGATAGCATAATAAAAATAAAACACAACTAATATGGTTCAAAATACAATAAAACATAAATAAACCAAAAATAACTGAATGCATCAGGTTTTAGGGTGAAGATGGGGAGGAAACTGGCTGTTGGAAGGAGAGGGTGGTGGCCGATGGTTGAAAAGGAAAGGGGTTTGGTGGCCGGTGGTGGGGAAGAGGATGGGAGGTAGAAAGCTGGCGGCTAGGGGAAGATTTAGCCGGCGGTTAAAGGAGAAGGAGGTGAGGAATTAGATAAAGAAAATAAACCGTGAGTCTGACTCTTCCAAAGTCTGATGGGTATTGCGTTGCCCTTCACCAAGGGATTTCAACCATGAGCCTGGACACATCCTGCGGCCGGTGGGTATTTTATTGACCTCACATAGAGACTTCCACTCTCTTAAGAACTCCCATCGCTCTCAAGAACAAAGTGTAGAAATACTTTTTTATTAATCCATCATTGTCTAATACAAGAGCAAGGGCCTCTATGTACAGACCTTAAAAGAAATTAAAAGATAACTTTGCCCATTGGGCTTACATAAGACAAGACCCTTAAGGGTAAAAATGAAAATGCATAATTAAATTAAAAATACAATTAATAAACTAAGATAAAAATGGAGGGATCTCGGCCATCAATTTTCTTCTCTTCTTTTGATTAACGTCCACCGTCGGATGTCCGCATCACATTTTTTATAAAATAGAAAAGTAAAATTTTAAAAATTATCAAAAGACCAGCCTCAATCCTAAATGTTTTGCAAATGCTATGTCCAAAAGCTCAGTTGTTAACCTGAACCATCAGAAAGGAAAAACTAATCACTTGCATAAGCAATATTAAATAAGACACTGCATCCCACAACACAAACATCAGTACACAATGAAACACACCGCATGGTTCATCACATGAAAGCACCAAATGAACGTTAAAATATTGGGTGGTTATGGAGGAGGCCAACATACACTAATGGTTTTCGATAACATGCAAGTTCTTGCTAGAAAAAGACAGATCATCGAAAGAAAAGGAAAAAATGGAAAGAAAAATACTACGTTAAAAATGAATGACCAGAATAAAGCATTCAAAATATCAACTAAGACTTGTACCTGTTAGATCCTCCATATTTGCAGGCTTCACATCAACAATGTTAAAACTCTGGCTGCTAACTTCCAAATTCCAAAGATTTATTCGCAAATCATCTGCTGATATAAATGTCTCACCATCACTGGAGAGAAACAATTTAGAATAATTGTTGTCATATGAGAGAGAGCAAAAAATTACACAAAGCATTATATGTACATTTAAATAAAGAACTTGATTTTCGAAACTGACAAGACATCTAGAACATATTATAGCATGCAGCACATGTGGATCCTAACGTGTTAACTTATCATTAATTTAAAAAAAAAAAAAAAAAACTTATCATTAACTACATTTGAAAAACTGAATTATCAGAAGAAAATTTAGGATTTGTTGTGAGGTAACTTCCAATAGCTAGCAGCGAAAGCTATGTACAAGTCATGATGGTGACCTACATAATTAGGGTTGCAATCATGACTGACAGATTGAAGATTACTCAAAAGTCAAACCAAACTTTTGTTCCAAGCAAAATCAACAAGTCAACTAACAAGCCAAGTTCAACTGTAACTAAATTAAGTGTCAATCAAATCAAACTAACTCGAGGTAGGACTTGAATGTAAGAATGCAAAGCCCCAATATGCAGCTGTGTATACATTTGGAAGGTGAGCTCCTTTGAAGCTTTCCTTTTTATTGAAACCTTATAAGTCTCCAAGCAAAAAAAAAAAACTTCAGATTCTACTAGTTGATTTTGTCATTTTTACATATAAACTATGCTAAACCTTTTAAGTTGAGACCCGTAGATGTCTTTTTTGGTACGGCGGAAAATCCATATGCAATATTGGAGCTAGGACAAATTTTAGAAATTGGCATCATATTATTATTAATAACAGGAATAAATATAAAAAAATTAACAATAGAAATAGTCACCCAGTCAACGGACAACAGTAATTTAAATTTTTGTTAAAATATAAACATTTCTTTTATGTTAAAATATAAAAAAATTTTGATGAGATATATAAATACAAATTGATATCAAAATAGTGATAACGTAACATTAAAAATACGTGATATTTTATAGCATAACCTTTTTTTTAAAGAGTTATAGATTAAACTAAATTTGAAGATTTATATAATAAAAACAAAAGTTCGTAGAGTAAACCTAATTTTAATTTAACTTTTATTTTACTTGTCAATTATGTATTGGTTGGTAATATATTAAGAGTATGTAGCGATAATATTTGCAAAATATTAAAATGGATAGCATATGATACTCTCTCTCATATATGATAATTGAATAGTATAATTTATTTGATTTAGTTATAGGCACAAACCTGTCACATCTGAGCTGTATTGTATTAATATTCATTCAATTATTCTTGTAATAAATGAAACCGATTGGGTATCTAATGTGACTGACATCCATGCAATGTTAATTATATATATATATATATATATATATATATATATACTTGAGTGACTCCAAATTTCAGTATGTGAGTTTCACACTATAATTTAGAGTTTTTCATCTCTAAAATCGACCACTTATAAAATCCCAAATTATAATATATTGCTTAAGCTAGCTTATCAGAAAGTGAACACTCTTCTATTAAGTAGTTTCAATTTGATACTTAAAAATATATGTAGGCCGACCATAAAATAAATTATGTGGATTTTCGTGACACATATCATCGTATTATAGAAAGCACACACCACAACACTTGCATTATAAAATGCTTGCACAATTATGCTATCTATATTGATTACTCACCTACATAGCATGCCACCAAAATCAACAAATAAGGAGTAATTTAAGAGCAAGGTTTTAAAAGGCGAAATCGGGAATCGAGGCATTTTTTTCTATGCGAGGCGAGACGTAAGCCTCGAGGCGGATCGAGGCGTAAGCCTCAAAACGATTAAAATAAATTAATTTAAAATTATAAATAATGACAAAAAATAACAAAATATCATGTCAACTATAAATTTGAAGATTTGTTCCAAGATAATATCGGTCTATCGGGGGTCCAAGGGGGCACCCCCCTAGCGGGGTTCGACCTGCCCGGTCAGGTCGCGGGGTCAAGAAGCAGTGCCCCTGCGGGGGTTTCCGGGGGCAGCGCCGCTAGAACAAAATTTTATTATAAGAGTAAATTTGAAATTTTCTGCTTGGTTTTTATGTTCGTAAGTTGTTTGTATGAAAAAGATACCGAGCGGTACCGAGATGCTCGATACCGAGCATGTACAGCTCGGTACCGAGTGATACATGGTCAGTACCGAGCGGTACATGCTCGGTACCGAAGCGTGACGAACTCAAACCAGCGGTTTAACAGGAAGAAAGGTCGTTCCCGAGCACTCCTGCTGGATCGAAGAACTCACTTATGGTCGAAGTCGAACGCCAAGCAGCTCTCAAAAGGGACGAAGCGAAAGCAGCGCGCTCGAAAGATAAGGAATTTGTTCTTCGCTGTGAGCTCCGTCAAATCCTAATGAGGCGTCGCCTCACACTGCCTCGAGGCGTTACGCCTCGACGCGTACGCCTCGTTGAAAAAAAATCGCACGCCTCGTCAAATACATTGAGGCTTAAGCCTCAAGGCGCCGGGTTAGCGCCTCGAACTGAATCGCGCCTCTGTTCGGATGCCTTGACCGCTTTTTTAAACGTGGATTGGAACGTTTTCAAACCAACTGAGTGGATTTTTATGAGCATTTTTTTGCCCTTAAACAGGAAGGCTTGATAGTAGAATATCGCGAGAGATTTTGAGTACCTGGCGAGCCGATTGTATTGGCTGTCTGAGACTATTTTGGAGGGGAATTCCATGAATGGGCTTAAATAAGAGATTCAAGCAATAGTGAGAGTCATGAGGTCTTGTGACTTGGGAGGGGCTATGGAGCTAGCTCAGCTAATGGAGGATGAAAAGTACCAAGAGGGGAGCCATAGGCAGACATTCAGGTGGCTCATACAAGATGTCTACCACTTTCTTAGCATCCAATGGGCTTACACCGGACAACCTTCGTGAGACCCTAAGGGAGAAGCCAGGAGAGGGAAGTGGAGGAAACTTTAAAAAGATGATAGAGGGAAATGCATGAAAAGAGAGCAAAGGGATTATGCTTCCATTGTGATGAGAAGTACACTTCGGGGCACAGGTGTAGGAACTGAACTCTTTAGGTTCTCACCGTCTGTGATGAAGAGGAAGCTGAGGAGGGAGGTGGGAGTGAGACATGCATATATGAGGAGGTCAAGCTGCATCTAGATGTGAAAGAGGTCTCTATGAACTTAATGGTATGATTCACTACGAGTCATACCATGAAAGTCAAGGGGGAAATAGCAGACCGGGAGGTGGTAGTGTTGATTGACAGGGGGGCTACCCATAATTTCATCTCTAACTAGGTCGTGGATCAATTAGGGGTAACATTGGTAGATACAATGCTATGGCGTGTTGATGGGTACGGGGAAGGTGGAGACGGGCAAGGGTATCTCTAGGGGAGTTAGGGAGCACTGGTGTCATCTTGGGGATGAAGTGGTTACAGACCTTAGGAAACACTAATGTAAACTGGGGGACACTGAACACGGAGTTGTTGTTGGAGGGGAGAAGAGTAGTGATCAGAGGAGACGCGGGGTTATCTAAAGCCATGGTGTCTCTCAAAATCATGTTAAGGAGCATACAGGAAGTGGGGGAGGTTTCTTCAAGAAGCTACAGAGATTAGAGGGGACTAGATTGGATGAGGGAGGAAACATTCCTATTTCAGTACAACTGCTAATATAGCAATTCCGTGAGGTCTTTTAGCCACCTTAAGGATTTCCACTAACAAGTGAGCAGGCGCGTGTCATCGCCTTGAGGGAGGGGGTGTAGCCCATCAATGTCATGCCATACCGTTACCCTCAATTTCAAAAGAACGAAATTGAAAAATTGATCAAAGAAATGCTGGAGGAAGGGATCATCAGGCCTAGTCTGAGCCCTTTTTTAAGCCCAGTCTTACTAGTTAAGAAAAATGATGGGAGTTAAAGGTTCTGCGTGGACTACAGGGCTTTGAATAAGAAGACTATGCCAAACAAGTTTTCCATCCCAGTGATAGATGAGCTATTAGACGAGCTGTGTGGGGCAATTATCTTCACGAAGATAGATTTGAAGTCTAGATACCATCAAATTCGAATGAATGGTAGGCTCTGTTTAAAAATGCGCAATAAGAGGCGCGCCTCTGCGCAATTCGTCCAAAAACCGCCTCGAAGCTTACGCAATTCCATCCCTGGCAGAGGCGTACGCCTCACATGGACTGAGGCGCGCCTCAGAGGTGCAATTGCGCAATTCTTAGTGAGGCGTACGCCTCATGGGAATGGACCCACCCACTTAAAATGAATGTTTTTTTCTCCTTAAACCCGCACGACAGCAGCTCCTTCCGAATTTTTCTTACCCGCATGGCTCAAAATCGCGAAACAGAGAGCTCCCGCACGGTCCTTACCCGCCAGCTTACCTTCCCGCCGCTTCTCCCGCCGGCGCCGCCTCTCTCCGGCGAAGTTGAAACTTCCGGCCGCCCTCTAGGAGTACTCCACATTGGATTTTAGGTATTTTTTTTAGTTTATGGTTAGATTTTTCAAGTGTAAGAAAATCTAGGGTTTATGTTTTTTTATTGTAAGAAAAACCCTTAATTTCTCATTTACGCAATTCTGTGTCCGTGAGGCTTACGCCTCAGACCGCCTCGAGGCTTTCGCCTCGCCTCACGGACGAAAACCGCCTCGAGGCTTAATTACGCAATTTTAAACCTTGATGGTAGGACATACCGAAGACCAGAATGTATGAGGGATATTATGAGTTCCTGGTGATGCCTCTTGGCCTCACTTATGTCCAGCTACATTCCAGTCCCTAATGAACAGGGTGTTTTGACCCATCTTAGGAGATTTTTACTGATTTTCTTTAATGATATATTGGTGTACAACATATCAAATGAGAAACACTAGGAGCACTCGAGGATGGTCCTAGAGGTGTCATGGGAGCAATAACTAAGAGTCAATTTGAAGAAATGTTGTTTTGCATAAACAAGTGTGGAATACTTGGATATGTAGTATCTTAGGAGGGTGTGGTCGTTGATCAGGCTAAGATTGAGGTAATGCTGAGATGGTTGCTTCCAAAGAATATGAGGGAGTTAGGGGTTTTCTAGGGCTGACAGGATACTACATGAGGTTCTTGAGAGGCTAGGTTATAGCACCATCGCCTAACCATTGATATAACAGTTGAAGAAAGATAGCTTCTTGTGGGGTGGGACGGCCACAACAGCTTTTGAGAAATTGAAGAAGGCCATGAACACTATACCGGTCTTGGCCTTGCCAGATTTCAGTCAAGTTTTAATAGTAAAGACGGATGCTTCAAGGTATGGATTAGGGGCAGTCCTCATGCAAAGCCACCAACCCATAGCTTATATCAGTCAGGTGTTGACAGCTAGAGCAAGAATGAAGTCCGTTTATGAAAGGGAGCAGGTGTCTATTGTGGTAGCCATCCAGAAGTGGCAACTTTACTTGTTAGGTCGAAATTTCATTATTAGGATAGACTAGTTGAGCTTAAAATACTTGTTGGAGCTGAGGATGGTGACAAAGGAGCACCAAAAATGACTATCAAAGTTATAGGGATATGACATTGAAATCCAGTGTAGGCCGAGAATAGAGAACAAGGCGGCAGAAGGCTTGTCCAGATGTATGGGGGAGCTCCAAAAGATGGATGTATCGATACCTTTGACACTGGATCGGGGGATTAAGGAGGAAAGTGTGCAGGATGAAGAGCTGACGAGGATTCAGGCAGATTTGCTGAAGGATGGGAATAGCCAGCCTAGGTATTCTCTAGAAGGGGAGAGGTTATTGTACAAAGGGAGATTTGTAATGCCTAAGACAACAGTCCATATTCCACAACTGCTACAGGAGTTCCATGAGATCATTGTTGGCGGTCACTCTGAAGTGCAGAAGACCAACAGGAAACTTATAGCAGAGTTGTATTGAAAATAAATGCACAATGATATGAAGGAGATGGTAGCCAGTTATGAGGTGTGCTAGAGGAATTAGTGCATGATCATGGCTCCAGGAGGATTACTGCAACCCTTAACTTTACCAGATCGGGTGTGGGAGGTGGTCTCTATGGATTTTACAAACGAGTTATCCCGATCTGAAGGGTATAGTATGATTATGGTGATAGTGGACAAATTAAGAAAGTATGCTTACTTTATCCCCCTACGACATACATGGCAGTGACAGTTGTAGCAACTCTCATCAGAAAGGTGGTCATATTGTATGAGATACCAGTCCAATGTTTAAAATTGCGTATTCGGGTATTGAGGCTTATTCATTTGTGAGGCGAGGCGTAAGCCTCAAGGCATTTTGAGGAGTAAGCCTCAAAATCAAAAGATTGCGTAAACATAAAATGATAAATTTTTTATATACTAATGAGTGAATAATATAAAACATAAAAAAACATAAGATATGAAGTGAAATCAAAATATCCCAATAATAAAACAACATGAAATATAGTTCAACTCAAAATTCTATCTTTCCCAAATCATAGTATTCTTTTCATTAACATATAATTCAGATTTCCAAAAATAAATAGCAATGTCATATCATATAAGAACTCATAAGTCATCATCACTGTCATCACTAAGGGGTTCTTCATTTGAATCATCATTATGATGAACTGCTCTCTCCTTACTCTCTCCCCTTCATCCTTTCCTATAGAGCCCAATGTCAGATTTACTTCAAGATTTATGTAAGTTTTAATATATATATAGCGTGAGGCGTAAGTCTCATGCCAATGAGGCGAGGCAGGCCTCAACCAAGTTGAGGCGCAAGCCTCATAAAAAAAAACTCGAGGCGTAAGCATTGAGGCGTTTTTTACTGGAATTGCGCAAAGGCGGGCCTCATGGAGAGCCTCATATTGAGCAATTTTAAACCATGTACCAGTCAATAGTGTCCGGCCGGGACAAGGTGTTCCTTAGCCATTTTTAGAGGAAGTTGTTCAGGCTGCAGGGGACTGTACTGAAGAGAAGTACCACTTACCACCCCCAAATAGATGGGCAGACGAAGGTGGTAAACAGAAGCCTAGACACATACCTACGATGCTTTGTTTCATAGACACCTCAGTTTTGAGCCAAATGGCTAGCATGAGCAGAGTGTTGGTACAACACCTCATATCATTATGCTTCCCTGATGACCTCATTCAAAGTGTTGTACGGATGAGACCAACCTCACTTGATACATTTTAGGCGGAAGAGCACATAGGTCTCTTCAGTAAAGCAACACTTGGAGGAAATAGAAAGGGTTTTGGAAGAGCTGAAAAGGCACCTATTGAGTAAAGAAATAGGCAGATGGGCATAAGAAGGACATCTGATTCAACGTAGGGAAGAGGGTTTTCTTAAACTTATGGCTCTACAGATAGAGGAAGGTTGCCAACAAGAGGAGTGAGAAGCTTGCCCCAAGATACTTTGACCCATATGAGATATTGGAGAGGATTGGAGCAGTAGCATATCATTTGAGATTCCCCCCGACGGCTACTATACATTCAACATTCCATATGTCATAGATGAGGAGAGTGATTGGAAATCATGTAACTAGTTCAGAGATGACACTGACAGAGGACTTGGAGGTGGTATTAAAACCACTGGAACTGAGGGGGGTTCGCCAATGAGAAGATGGGAATAAAAAGGTTCTAATATGGAGAAGCCTACCGAACTACGATGCCACCTAGGAGCCATATGAGAGAGTGAAGCATTAGATTCCATCATTTCACTTGAGAACAAGATATTCTTGGGAGGGGGGTAGTGTTAGATCGGTCCAACAGGCCC